ATTACATTGGATTTGAGTGGAAGAGATTGAAAAGAATGATGCACTATAATGAAAATGCTGGCAGAATAGGGTTTGACGGTCAGGAGCTCGAGCGCACGGGGAGAAAAGGAAATGAGGACTTTTCAACGCTGGTTCAATATACTAAAGCATTTTCGACGACTTACATATACTATCAATGCCGTCAAATAGTAATTAATAGCTTAATAACCACTGATATTATCTGTCGGTTAATATAGATGATCATTACTTTCTTACATCGAAAATATGAGGTCTTGAATTTCTCACAACCTTAGCCTGTCGGTTTATGAGTCAGCATGAATCGATGACATGAACCACCGGCAACTTTCCAAAAACAGTCATAAAAGTTTTTTAAACTATGAAGCTATGAAGCTATGAAGCTACAGCTTATTGAGTCCTAAAACTATCAGAATTGATTGAAATAAACAATCATCACTAAGCTGACATAAACTTGCTCAAAATTTTCAATCAACATACATTTCTAATGTAATGTGTATATTAAAATTCTACTCTTACCTTCAGCTAATATATCTTAAGAATGGAGCCTAAAATATTGAGATGAAACCCATGGCTTTATTTTCTTCAAAAAAATAAAATAAAAACGGTTTTTTTCTTTTCCCGAATATAAACCTTTTCTTTGTTATTTTAAATTATCCCACGTGAATTCACAGTTTTGTTGGGGTGCTGGCTGGATCTCTAGTTCCCATTGGCATGGAGCCATAATAAAGTTGGCTGCTGCGTCACTTTAAATTCGGCGCAGTGACGTAACAAAATAATTCAGAAAAAAAACATTATTTAAATCCATGAAAATGCTTCGCTGTTTGAAGCTGGCGGAGGGATGGTGACTCAGAAGCACTGCAATCAATAAGTTTTTTTATTTATTTGTTCATTTCCTTTATGTAAATTCTGTGCAGATACGTTGAATGTTACATTTTTCGATCATTAAGATGAATAATATATTAGTTGAATTTTGGTTAATTTGTTAGAAATTATAATATATTAGAAATAAAAATATAAGTAGCTGTGAGTAATCTGCAATGCTGTGCCTGTGGTGCAATAATTCAGAAGGAAAATATAAATTAATTCGAATTTTGAAAAAAAAAATATATTTTTTATTTTGATGACGTGTCGAGTAACTTATTAATTCTATGAGAAATAGGGCGAATTAATGAGAGTTGGTGGTGCATAGCTTATCAATGGCCCATTAACCAAGCTGGCTCTTCATTTTCTCCAAAAAAATAATAATCAGTTGAAGAGAGCAAAGCGGTATTCAGAACAAGTTGCCAGCTGCAATTTTAGACTTCAACAACTTTAATTATATTCTTCAACAATCAGGGTTTAAATTCAATAATATATATATTGTTAGTTTTTCATTATTTTATTTATATAGTCCACTGTCATTTATTTTAATAGTAATTAATTAATTGATTAAAAAGGATAGGGTCCTGTCTCTTCCCAATAGACATCACATTCTTTCGTTTTAATTAATTAATTCAATTATCCTAAATGAAAGGTCATGTCTCTTCCCAAAAGTCATCGTATCATTTTACTTTAATTAATTAATTATCATAAATCCTATTGGTCAATAATCACCATGATGGATGGTGGTTAATAATGGATAATTAAGTGAAAATTTATGTCTATTCCCATGAGACTTATATTTTCTCTTATGAATAAGAGAATGATCATTTCTCTCCCTAGAATAAGAATATATCTTTTCTCTCCATCGGAAAGTACAGAAATAATAAAGATTAGAGAGATAAATTCAATCTCTTCAAATTGAATTCTACGATCATGAATACATGTACATATATCTCATTTATGGGTATGTGAAAATCATAAATTCAAAGTTCTTGGTCATTTAATTTTATGAATTATGGGTCATGAAGTTGGATTTTATAAATTACAAATCCTAACATGTGGTATCAGAGACAGATTGTTAATTTGTGATTGTTCATTTAATTTTACTTATGTTAATTGCATAAAATTTCCATTGTAAATTAGTTCTTGGAATTAGATCACTAAAGTTAATCGGTGAATAATCGGTGAATAGTTAATCGGTGAATTGAGATATTATTGTTTATTCGATGTCCATATTATGTTTTATTTGTTAGTCATCAAAGTGACCAAATTTGTATGTTTAATATATGTCAAATTAAATAAATTTAATTACTCATACGTATATGATGCTTATTATTAAACAATTTTGTATTTAATTATGAGTATATTGAAATTCATTGATTATAAAATATTTGTGGATCGCCCAGGTTGATTATGTGGTTTATCTACATGAGTTTGATGATTATGTTGTTTATCTACGTGAGTTTGAATTTGAGTTGGGAGACAATGAAGATCCAGTTTCATTTTCACAAGCCATAGAAAGTGCAAATTCTGCTGAATAGTTAGATGCAATGAAAGATGAGTTGAAATTGATGGATCACAATAAAGTTTTAGATGTCGTTGAATTGCTTGAAAATTGTAAAAGAGTCGGGTGTAAATGAGTCTTTAAGACCAAACGCGACTTGAATGACACTATTGAACGATATAAAGCCAGGCTTGTTGCCAAAGATTTCACTCAGAAAGATGACATCCACTATAAACAAACATTTTCTCCAGTTTCTAAGAAAGATTTATTTAGAATTATCTTGTCACTAGTAGCTCATGATGATTTGGAGTTACATCAAATGGTTGTAAGAACTTTCTAAACTTCCTTTTCTAAATGAGAATTTAGATGAAGATGTCTACATGAGTCAAGAACTTTCTTTTCTAAATGAGAATTTAGATTAAGATGTCTACATGAGTCAACCTGAAGGATTTTAGGTTGAAGGAAAGGAACACATGGTGTGTAAACTTAACAAATCAATATACAGACTTAAGCAAGTTTCCCGACAATGGGAGCAAGATCATATTTCTTATTGTGTATGTTGATAATATCTTGTTGGTTACTAATGATCTTGGCTTGTTGTATGAAACCAAGAATTTTCTCTCTAAGAGCTTTGAAATGAAAGATATGAGCGAGGCATCCTATGTGATTAAAATTGAAATATGTCGTGATAGATCACAATGATTATTAGGATTGTCTCAGAAAACATATATTGATAGAATTTTTAAGATATTCAATATAAAAAAGTGTGAAACAGATCATTGTTGCATCCACTATGAAAGTTAAATTTGTGGCATGCTTCAAAGCTACAATTCAGGGCTTATGATTGCAGAATTTTATTTCAGGACTTGAACTTGTCGACAGTATTGCCGAGCAGCTGAAAATTTAGTGTGATAACTCCACAACAGTCTTCTTTTCTAAAAACAACAGGTATTCCAAATGTGCTAAACACATGAAATTAAATTACCCTGTTGTTAAAGAAGAAATTCAGAAACATAGGGTGTCAATTGAGCATATTAGCACCAATCTCATGATTGCAGATTCTTTAACGAAAGAGTTGTCACTGAAGACATTTAACGAACATGTTGCGACAATAGACATTACCAAAACTCTTTATTAGTTTTATGTTTTTTGTATTTTGACACTTTGGGCTCAATTTTCTTGTTTCTTATGATTTATGATTTGACCAATATAAAGAATGATTTTAACTTATATTTTGAGCAGTATGTTATGCACTATTAAGTATTACGTGGGCCAAGTGAGAGAATGTTAGTTTTTCATTATTTTATTTATGTGGCCCATTTACTTTAATAGTAATTAATTAATTAATTAAAAAGAAGAGGGTCATGTCTCTTCCCAATAGGCACCGCATCCTTTCGCTTTAATTAATTAATTCAATTATCCTAAATGAAGGGTCTTGTTATACTTTAATGGTAATTAATTAATTAATTAAAAAGAAGAGGGTCGTGTCTCTTCCCAATAGACACCGCATCCTTTTGCTTTAATTAATTAATTCAATTATCCTAAATGAAGGGTCATGTTACTTCGGTCTTGTTACTTCCCAAAAGACATCGTATCCTTTCATTTTAATTAATTAATTAAATTATCATAAATCCTATTGGTCAATAATCACCATGATGGATGGTGGTTAATAATGGATAATTAAGTGAAAATTTAAAATGTTGTGTCTCTTCTAAAAAAAATTATCTTTTCTCTTATAAATAAGAGAAGGGTCCTCTTTCTCCCTATAAGAAGTATGTATATTTTCTCTCAATCGGAAAGTACAGAAATAAATAAGGATTAGAGAGAGAAATTCTATCTCTTCAAATTGAATTCAACGATCATGAATACATGTACATATATCTCATTTATGAGTATGTGAAAATCATAAATTCAAAGATCTTGGTCATTTAATTTTATGAATTTTGGGTCATGAAGTTGAATTTTATAAATTACAAATCCTAATATTATATATATATATATATATATATATATATACATGACCTCAGAAAAATTATAAATAGCTAATGATAATTAGGTCTAATTAATTTTGTTCATAAGTTGTCGAAACAAAAAGTATTGATACATTTGTTTGTAGAAATAAAAAATTGTCATTTCTCAGGAGTTGTCTGTTTTCGACCATATTATTTAGCTCGAGATCTAGAAATAAAAAGAAAGAAAAAAGACAGTGAGTGAGTGTTTGAACATAATTGAACCCATCGATTTATCAAATTAGGACCGATTTCTCAGATCAACCCACCCATTCGACATGTTATTGTACATCGAATTTAAATTTGGGCACCCAAATTTAAATGGGACAAAATAAGAAAGATTTGAGGGTACTGTTCTTATCGATAAAAGCCAAATCCGACCACGAGGCACAGTCTTATCCTACGGCGTTATATGTCAGTATCTCACTGGTAGGTACTGCTCTCACAACTGAAACAGAGGGCGCGCGCCAGCCACAGAGAGAGAGAGAGAGAGAGAGAGGGAGTGAGAGAGATTTCCTTCTTCTTCTTCTTCTTTATATTCTGCTTCAAGGTTAGAGGAATATATTAGAAACCATAAGAGTTTTTTGAGTCAAAGGGTAGGCATGTATTCTGCTTTGCTTTCTCTACTCTTTTAGCCTTTTCAAATTCTGATTTTGATGAACGCATCTGATTATTGTTGGGATGTTTCATTTGTTTTGCAATTCAAATTTAAAATTTTTCGATGACAGAAAGTGAAACATGTTCTTTTCCCGGTTTCAAAAGTTGCATTTTTTTCCGCCCTACTAATCTATAATCAACAGCATCGAACGGCTTAATATTCTCATTCTTGAGTCTGTCCTCTTCTTCTGTGTAGTGGTTTCTGATCTGCATCTGTTTCTCTCTTGTGTTTGAACTGGTACTTGTGACTGACTGCTTGACTCCTTGAGCTTGAAAACGGTTCTTTACCGTTTTGTTTTTAATGAAAATATCAGTTAGATTATTACGTTGACTATAACTTTTATACATAAGTTTTACGACTAAAAAAATATATCATCCTCTACACTAAAAAGTATTCTGATCCAAAAATTTTCCATTGTGCATTGCCAATTTTCTTAACTATAAATTGACGACTCTAATCATATTTACAGTTCTTGCAACATCTCCGATCAAAGCCAATGCTAAATCACTCGATCACAATGGAATCGCAGGCAACCGAAGCACCCTGGCTCTCAGACATTGTATTCCTTTTTTTTTTTCCAGTGAACAAATCAGCTTATTCTTCTGAAAGAAAATAAAAGAAAAAAACTCTGTTTTTGTTTTTGCAAGTAGCAGGAAATGCCAGATCCGAATTACCAGCAATGGGAACTAAGCTCTCTAGACCAGCTCATATCTCCCAACATATGGGATGATGACCTGCATCAAACTCTCTCATCTGAAAGTCAAACTTTGAATCCAGCAGCGAGCATTACATCCAACACCTTCAGCAGTAGCTCATCCATTGACTCCTCTCATGCCAATGCAGCCATGGCCGCCAACGAGCGATTGAAAAAGATGGCTAAGACTAAGAGCTGGGACTCCATCGCCACCCTGCAAAAGTCTATCCTTCCTCCCACCGTTTCGTCCCCGAGCATCCTCTCTTTTGGTAGACCGGACTCCCCTGATAATAGCTCGGAGCTCTATAAAAACCTGGTAATTGCCACGGTTAACACAGAGGAAGGGAAAGGTAACAGTTTGAAGAGAAGCCATCAAGCCATGGCTGCTTTGCAGGGGAAGAAGAAAGCTAGTGCTGTAGCTTCAAGGCCTTCTTCTCATAACCAAGAGCACATTATGGCTGAGAGAAAGCGCAGGGAGAAGCTTAGTCAGAGATTCATAGCACTTTCAGCCATTGTACCTGATCTTAAGAAGGTGCTCTAGTTCACAGTACTCGAATACTCAAATAACTTAAAAATCCTGCTTTCATTTCAGTTTTCTTAAGCCTAAATCATCTTTCATGATTAAAAAACTGAGCTTTTGCAGATGGATAAGGCTTCGGTGCTGGGTGATGCTATCAAGTATCTGAAGACATTGCAGGAAAAAGTAAAGTGCCTTGAGGATCAAGCTGCAAAGGCAACGGTCAAGTCAACCATCCTCATAAAAAAATCTCAGCTCAGCACTATCACTACCAACGACGAAACCGACATCTCCTCCTCCGGCGAGAGCACCACCGACGGCGGCCACTCCCAGCCGGAGATAGAGGTGAAGCTATCGGACAGGACAGTCCTTATCAAAATCCACTGCGAGTGTAAAAAGGGAATTTTGGTGAGAGCCCTGTCGGAAATCGAAAAACTCCAGCTTTGCGTCGTCAGCATAAGCGCTCTGCCCTTTCCAGCTTCCTCTCTCGACATTACAGTGATGGCTCAGGTAATAATTCCTTACAATTCTCAAATCAGTTAATTTTTGTGATAATTGTAGAGTGATACTCATATTTTAGCTCCTTAATTCACCTCAGGTAGCTAACTGTAAAAAATTTCCATGTTTTAATTTTTTATTTAAAAGTAATTTTCTTTCAAGTGCTGATTTGAACAGATTCCACTTATATAAAGTAGTCAACTCTGGCAAAAGTGCTCTTCCTCTTCAATTTTATTTATCAGATTTTTATATAAATATATATATTGAAATTGGTGAAAAATATGATTGATAAACTATTTAAAGAAATTTAATTTGCAGATTGAGGAAGGCTTTTCCATGACAGCAATGGAGCTGGTGAGGAATTTGAGCTCTACTTTCAGCTCCTTCATCTCAAGGATTTGACTTTTAGTAGTTATAGGTCTGCAGAGGTTTTGGGTGCTCTCTAGTTCTCTCTCTCTCTCTCTCTCTCTCTCTCTCTCTCTCTCTATGTTGGAAGAAGATTGGGTAAATTTATTCTCATCAAAATTTGATTTTGATTTAGTTTCATAATTATTAATTTATTTTAGGATGAGGAAGAAGTTTGGGTAAATTTATTCTCATCAAAATTTGATTTTTATTTAGTTTCATAATTATTAATTTATTTTAGGATGAGTAAAATATAATATTTTGATAAATTAATCATGTATTATACTCATCTTAACATAAATTAATAATTATTAAAAACTATTTTAATCAAATTCAAATCAGAATACTGTTACTCACTTTTCTTTCCTTTTACATTCCCTTCCTAGATTTATAGATCGAGTGGCCCTGCTCATGTTTCAAAAATAAATCGAGATCAGAGATGAAAGGGTGTTTTTATTAGCGTTTCGTTGAAACTTGTGCTAATGCTTTTTGAAGTCAGTTTGTAACCCGCTTGTTGTTTTGCAAAGAGGCACTCAATTAATCTCTTCATTCAATATTTGATCTCTTTTTGTGGGCGTGGGAGATTAAACATGAAATATATATTAATAATTTTTAATATATAAAATCAACGTTGTAAAATAAAAAAAAAAATGCAATTTTGATATAAAAAAGATAAAAGAAAAATGAACTAAATCGATCTACATTGTTATATTGAAATACTTCCAAGGATGATGATGATGATTCTTTTATGATTTAAAATGAAGTATTTTAAAGACTTGAAAGATCTTTAACTTAAAGAATGATCGATAAATATATTTTATGAATTTTAAATAACTGCTCAAGGATATGAAATAAATTAGTCGCAATGATGGCAATAACCTTCCAAAAATAGATGCCATATCAACTAGTCTCTTTGGAATACTTTTATGTCTGTTCTGAGTTTCAAAACATATCAATGTCAACTAAAATTTCATTTTTTGAACTGTTTTCTTGTTTCTTTTTATAAATGTTTGTTGTGGAAAATTATGTTTTTCATCACGATCTATTAAAGTTTGACAGTTGTAAGAAAAATGTTGTAACATAAATTTATTACTACGAAGAAATTGATATTTCCTTCATGACTTTACAACCAATTTATTTAAAAAATTACATCAACCTCAAAATGATCCTAGTACTTAATTTTGTTTGATTATGTAAATGATTGTCAACCATTTTGGCTCCTTAAATAAACACTGGTAAAAGTTGACTTCTTATTTTTACACCGAAAATTCTATCTCATAGTTGTCTTTCGAAGCTTGATTATGTAAGACAAACTTGTTTAAATTTTGATATATATGCAGGCTTTCAATTTTGAGATATATGCAGGTGTAAATCTATGAACTAGAAAGTAGCATTTTTTTAAAAAATCATTCTACATGTGAAACCAAATTGTAAGATGTTAAACTTCATTATTATGGTTTTGTTACTGGTTAGAAAATAATAAATGTCCAAATAATTATTGTCATAATTTGCGGCTGTATTTAATTTCTTATGTGACATTTTAATTATAGAAGCCAAGGCCTCTGTAAATTTTCTTAAAGTAAATTATCATCAAGTGTTGAGAAAATTTTTTTATTATTTAAAAGTTTATTACTTTATATTGATTTTTAATCTTTTTTATATGATGCATAAATCATTATCTTTAATTACACCTTTAATTAAATAATGATGACTAAGTAATCATTTTTAATCATTCAATTGCCAATAACCTAAATATTTTTCTAAATTTTACGAAAATCTAAAAAATATTTTTGCAACACTTAGCCCATGACTAATAATTTATATTCAATAATAATGTTTATTATATAACTTACTAGCTCTGAGACTTTAGTATGTAAATATGAAAGTTTACAAAAATCTAAAAAATATTTTTGCAACACTTATCCCATGACTAATAATTTATATTCAGAAATAATGTTTATAGAACTTAATAGCTCTGAGACTTTAGTATGTAAATATGAAAGTTTAGTTGTGAGATATGTAAATACATAAGAGTTATGTGCGACCTTTGTAAATTTCTCATAAAAATTTTAAGTTTTTAAGGGATGTCCGATCGACCACTTCATCTTTCAATTATCTATTATGGGATTAAACCCAACTTACATGGTGCTTGACAATCTTCTCACGTAAAATTTTTCATAGAAGTTGTCAATTTCCTTCACATAAAAATTTGTAACAACATCAAATACGATGCATAATGAGCTCACCCACTTACATGTAGCCATCGAGAAAGTCGCATTATTTGAACTTTGCTTAATCATAGCTGAACACAAATTTCTTATTAAAACATCTAAAAATACCTTTTGTTAAATGGGTTAATCAATTTAGGGATTAAACTGTGCTCCATGCGGAGGTGGCTAGAATTGCTTTTAATGCTTCATCTACCACATCTTCCATCAATAATGAATAGGAGCGTGTGTTTGAGTTTATGGCAAAAGCTAATGATTCAGTGATCATAAATTCTATCTATAATTAGGGATAATGTTGCCTCAGAGTCATCATATATGCTTATTCCTTGGCAACCATAGATTTAGCCTGTATCGGTAGAAGTTTACATGATGATGCGGCTTGAAATGATGTCCTAAAGAGTACAAATGTAATAAAAAGAAAGGAAGGAGTTGCTTAAGGTCATGATTTGGGTAAGCCCCTCAATGACGATTACAATTGTTAATATTGAAGGAAAAAAATTTCTTGGGGCATGGCCAAGGCCAATGCCTTAACCGTCATGATTTTAAACAGTATTGAAGCACTAAGTTTGAACGAGGGCAAGAACAAGGCATTTTTATTGAAGATTATTTCTAAGACAGTGTTCCCCTCACCACAGAGGTATCCGATATTTGCGTCGGATTTGTTTGAACTTACATTGAAGGCATATATGTAAATTTCTAATAGTTTGTATTTGTGATAGCATCTCATTTTTAATGAGATACTGTGATATAACTGGACATAATGTTGTTGTGATGTGGATTAAATTTTGTGTGCAGATTGTATAAATGTAAATGATACATTAATTTCTTTTTTCAAATTTTGAGTTTAGCGTCGGATTCTCGTCTATTTTAAGTTGAAAAATTAGACGCGTCGTTCATTAATATTATCCGCTGCAAATTTGATGGTATCCGAAAATATTCTTTATTGTCTGATATTTTCAAATGCAAAATTCAATGCATGTGTAGTCCAATGCAAAAAATGATGCCAATTATTTTCATTGAAATATTTCGATGCAAAATTGATGAAATTAACATTACTGACATCCGAATTACCAGCGGAAAAAATCAGATGTAAATCTGACGCAAATCCGATGAATATACTCGAATATCATTGGACTTCCGTTTGATTTGCGTGTGATTTGACAAACTCAAATTTGCTAAATTCCTGTAGTGCCTCTATTATTTACTAGCTAAAAAGACCTTATGGAAAGTATTTCTTGGGAGTTTTATTTTTAAATTTTAGAATTCAATAATTTTGTAGTGAAGAAAGATCATTATTATTGATCCTAAATCATCAAATCAAGAGGTAAGCATATCAAGAAATAGTCCGTTATACTATAAAATTTCTAATGATGATGCATTTTTTAAGTGTAAGAACGAGTGTTTAAATAATTATTATAAGGCTAATGAATGATGTTTCTTTCACTAGGGCATTAAACAATGTTCTTTGATGAAGCTATGATTTATATAGCCTTATATAAATGCGGCTTAAATTGTTGGATTGTCTCAATCTTCATGAAAAGTAATTTAATTATCCTTATATGAATGAGGCTTAAATTGTTGGATTGTCTCAATCTTCATGCAAAGTAATTGAGTCCACCAAAATCCTAAGCTCTAAACTCAATGATTATCGTTCATCACGAAGAAAATTAAATTAAACCCATTATAACTTTTATAGCCTTCTATAAATTATAGTTTAATTCTCATCAAATAACCATAATCTTTTATAGAAGAGGTCAAATTTATTCCATCAAATTAGATTGATTAACTAGCCAAATTGAGGAGTTATATTAGACTCTAATTGATGATGTCAATTAAGTAGTGGAAGCATTGATGCAATATAAAAAGAGAAAGTTGAAGATGAATTTATATTTTATAAGTTCTTCTAATATTAGTAATGAAGGGAGTCATAGCACACATTTTCATTCTTTACTTGAAGGAAGTATATGCTTTTCTTATTTTATTATGATTATCTTTCTCAAATGATCTTTCCATACGGTGTACCCTATAGAAGACCTTCCCCCTTTATTTCAGTTTGGTAATCAATGGAGGTTTCAAGTATTCACATAACGTTGATTATGGTTAGAGTGAGAGAATAGCTGAACTCACTAAATATTAATTCAATGCTTCTCACAAATAATATCAAATAATTTTATATAGAAAATAGTGTCAAGTTATTCAAATTTGTTGAGAGATGTCACTCTTATAGGTTTAATTCATACACAAAACAACTAAATAATGATGAACCTTCTTTAAACATTCTTCTTCAATAATAATACTTCTATCTACAGAAAACACGAACCCAAAAGGCAATAGGCGTGATTCAAACCCCCGATCTCACGATGAGAGACAACATCTTTAATCACTATCCCATAATAATACTTAGATGCCCAACTAAGTATCCATGAGCATGAAGATAAAGTATAGAGCTCCTATCGAGGAAAAATCAATCTCCTACCCATTGGGGGTAGTTTCATCGATGCATAAACAAATCGTAAGTTTCGAGATTGGTGGAGTAATTAGAGATAATATCAATCAACTGCATTATAATGTCTTCTTAATAATGCATTAATTAATTTGCTCACATTGATAAATATTTCAGACATAAAGTTGCTGCAACATAGCGTTATAATCGCTGTAATTTATGCAAAATGGAGTCACCATAAGCCATGTGATCGTGTTTCGATTAAATAAATATCAATCCTCCAATAAAAATAAAATTCAGTGGTGACCCAATCTCCAAAGCTTTCCATGTTACAGTTGAGGAATTAAAATTTACAAATTAAAATCCTAGTTTATGCTTCTGTTTAACCTGCTAACCTACTAATT